CATTCCCCCAGAGGAGCTGGAGGAAGTGTCTGGAGAGAGGGAAGTCTGGGCATCTTTGCTTAGACTGCTGCCCCCGCGACCCGGTCCCGGATAAGCGGAGGAAAATGGATGGATGGATGGATGTATTCATTAGTAGGGTGGTAATTTGTTTAATATGTTGCTGTTTTTTTTCCTTCTCCAGTTGCTGATAACTATTGCCTTCAACCAGCCTGTGAAGCTCTTCTCTATGAAGCTACAGACCTCTGACTTTGGTGGGTTTTATTCTGCTACTGTCTTTAAATTGAATCTCTCCTCTAGAGGTGATGCAGTGAAAATCATTTTCAGCTCCTTGATAACTAACATTCTCATCCACTTCTTTATCCCTTGTCTCATGTTTCCATCTCCGACCCTTTCCTGTGTCAGCTCAAGCCCCTAAGGTGGTGAAGGTGTTCATTAATCTTCCTCGGTCAATGAGTTTTGATGATGCTGAGCGGAGCGAAGCCACTCAGGCTCTTGAGCTGTCAGAGGAGGACTACAAAGATGACGGTTTGATTCCTCTGCGATATGTCAAGTTTCAGAATGTACAGAGTGTTACGGTAAGGACCACATTACCTGCATTCCTGAAATACAGCTGTAGTTAGGCTTAAGACAAAATGTTTCCACTGGTTAAACTGGTTGATTATATTTATTGAAACTGGTTGCCTTTTTGTTTCCTTAACAGTTGTTTGTCAAGTCGAACCAAGGAGACGAGGAGACGACAAAAATCAACTATCTGACATTCATAGGCACTCCGGTACAGGCCACCAACATGAATGACTTCAAGAGGGTATGCAGCAATGCCAGCAGCCTGAGGTCTGTTTACATTCAGGTTGGTTTGTTCTCATGGGTTATAGTTTCATTTTCGTGCAGGTTGTGGGAAAGAAAGGAGAAAGTCACTGAAAAGAAGAATGGAGGGGAGGAAGAAGAGGAGGTTACACACACATCCATGGACTTTTCCTCTGCCAAAGCTGCCACACACTTTGCTGTGACACCAACAAACACACACACACACACACACACACATACATATGTCCTCCTCAAGCCCTGAATGAATTCTGAAACTCAGTCTATTAATCATTTGTATTGTAATTCTGATGGATATCACTGTAAATAAAGACAGTCCTTTTTCAAAGGCATGTGGGTCAAGTCTGCTTTTTTGGGAAGTACAGTAGCTGGTGGTAGTATGTTTATCATTGTCTAACACATGTTGATTAGTGAACATACCGGGAATGGATTTATTATATAAATGCATTTGTTACTGATAATCTGTGAATGTCACTTGTAGCGAGTCTTGCCACATTACCTGCTTTATTTGTGGGTGGGATTTTTTTTTCTCCCAACCTAGGCAGTGCTTACAGCTCCTTGGTCACTATCAGCCTTATTACCAGAAGCTCAGTCTACTCAGGCTGCACAGAGGTATGAAGCGGGTAAAACATGCACAGTAAAAGTTAAGTGTAATACATATAAAAACAACAGAAATCCATTCTAGTACATCAAAAGACAAACCAATGCAGTAGTTCACAGAATCCATAGAGGTATCTCCACTGCAGGTATAAAGCTGTTGGCTCTAGGGCTGCAACACTTGCTTTACTGATTCTTCTGGGTTCTTTTCTCAATTCAATGTAATTTGTCTTGTTTTGTGTGACCATCACAACATACTGTAAGACCAAGAAACAGCAGATTCTCACAACCAGAAAGTGTCACCTGGACCTGATCATTAAAATAGCTGGTGTAATAATTTTGTTGAAGTCAACTAATCAGTTGATCAGTTACTCATTGGAGCTCTAGTCAGTTCCCAGTGCCTTAACTGCTGCAGGTCCTCTCACTATATACAGTGCCTTGCGAAAGTATTCGGCCCCCTTGAACTTTGCGAACTTTTGCCACATTTCAGGCTTCAAACATAAAGATATAAAACTGTAATAAAAGGTCCCAAAGTGCAAGGGGGCCGAATACTTGCGCAAGGCACTGTAGCTGGGGATGTATAGTGTCTTTTCAGCTCAGTGAAGTTCTTGGTTCTTGCTTTTGATAAAAGACTGAGTTATTTCCTAAATGTTTGGGAATAGACAATGGGCCAAAGAAATCTTGATGCATAATAAATATGAAAAATGTTGTTGTTTTTTTTTTTTTTTTTTTTTACTTTTTTGCTCCATTACACTGTAGAACCTTTTCCAGGGACCCATGAACTGTTTTAGGAACAACATTCCTCCTGGAAAAACGAGAAGATGATGTTCCTCTCCAAAATAAGCACATATTTAAAGATAAGGTAAGCACAGTAAACACATGCTTTATGTTTTTAGGTAAGCCTAAGATTTTGGATCTGAGTACTTGCTACATGTGTAGAAATGATAAACCACCATATACTAGTATAACTAAGATCCCTTTAAACATACAAAAGTGCAGATGTGGAATAAAAAGGAAGCAGCAATGAAACACTACTGACAAAGATCAATCTGAAGGATGGTCCTGTTGTTAACTGATCTGCTTAACTGTGTAAGTTCAATAAATGGTTAGCTGCATCTCATGCCTCTTATTTGATCGTTCCTTCTCCCCGATCTTCAAAGTTGGTCCGGTCGAGTGAGGGCATCCCAAGCTCTTATTCCTGCTGTGAGGAGTGAGGAAGCTGCTGGAGGAGCTGCAAGCAAGGATACACAAAAGTAGCCTTTGTGGCTTTAATGAATTGACATGCCCCTTTATCCAAAATCAGTTGGTGATTGGACGTTTCAGGTGAAAAATCAGTGGAAAGGACGTTTCATAAGCATGTTTCCTCAATTCCTCCCTCATCGCATGTTGAGCAGGACTAAGACGCAAAAAAAAAGCAAGTGAGGGAAATGTCGGTGCATATACAGTAGAAGGCTTAGGATGTAGCTATGCTCAAGGTCTGGTCAGAAATAACAGCATGTACTCTATTAGTCTACATGAACACACCATTACTTATGTGTCATAGGCTTATCTTTATTTGGTAAATTGGTTGTGTAACCATATAGTGTGCCACTGATATAGTTTCATTTCCTGGAAAAAAACAACAACCTCATCCTGATTTTCTGGCTCTCAAACACAGTCATTCCCATTCAGTCTGTGTTTCCTGCTTCCTGTAGATCTGACGGTGTACAGACGGGAGTAACCAACATGCTGTTTAGGGATAAGCCGTAGATCCAGTAGACCTGTAGAAGGAGAACCGAATTATTTAGGTCATCTTTAGTCCTTCATGAGAAAGCGAAACTATTTCACCCTGTCTATCTCTCAGAGGTGACATGGCACAACAAGTAAGTAATCCAAAAAAACTCTGCTGTTCGATCTGCCTGGATTTAATAAATGATCCAGTGACTATTCCCTATGAGCTGTATTAAAACCCACTGGGATGAAGAGGATCAGAGAGAACTCTATAGCTGCCTTCAGTGCAGACAGATCTTCAGACTGCGGCCTGTGCTTATGAAAAACACCATGTTAGCAGATTTAGTAGAGGAACTGAGGAAGACTGGTCTCCAAGCTGCTCCAACTGATCACTGCTATGCCGGACCTGAAGATGTGGCCTGTGATTTCTGCACTGGGAGAAAGTTAAGTCCTGTCTGCAGTGTCTTGTCTCTTAACTGTGAGCTCCACCTGCAGCCTCACTACGAATCGCCAGCCTTTGAAAAACACAAGCTGGTCCAGCCCTCCACAAAGATTCAGAAGCACATATGCAGTTGTCATGATGAAGTGATGAAGATTTTCTGCTGCACTGATCAGCAGTGTATCTGTTATCTCTGCTCCATGGACAAACATAAAAGCCACGACACAGTCTCAGCTGCAGCAGAACGAGATAAGAGGCAGAGACAGCTTATAGTGACTCAGCGGGAAATCCAGCAGAGAATCGAATCCAGAGCAGAGAGGAAGAAGTGAAGCTGCTTCAGCCGGAGGTGGAGGCTATCAGTCACTCTGCTGATAAAGCTGTGAAGAACAGTGAGGAGACCTTCAATGAGCTGATTTCTCTTGTTGAGCAAGAAAGCTCAGATGTGAAGCAGCAGATCAGATCTCAGCAGAAAGCTGAAGTGAGTCGAGTCAATGAGCTTCTGGAGAAACTAGAGCAGGAGATATCTGAACTGAGGAGGAAAGATGCTGAGCTGGAGCGGCTTTCACACAGTGAAGATCACATCCAGTTTCTACTCAGTTGCCCCTCACTGTCCATTCTCAGTGACTCTCTCGAGTTACCCAGCATCAATATCCGACCTCTGCGATACTTTGAAGATGTGACGGTGGCTGTGTCAGAGGTCTGACCTGTCCATTCTCAGTGACTCTCTCGAGTTACCCAGCATCAATATCCGACCTCTGCGATACTTTGAAGATGCGATGGTGGCTGTGTCAAAGGTCCGAGATAAACTAGAGGATGTTCTCAAAGAGGAACGGATCAAGATCTCTCAGAGGGTGACTGATGTGGATGTTTTACTGCCACAAACAGAACCCAGGACCAGAGGTCAATTCCTCAGATACTTGCATGAAATCACACTGGATGCAAAAACAGCAAACACAAGGCTGTTATTATCTGAAGGGCACAAGAAGGCAACAGTAACGTTAGAAGACCAAGTAGATTCTAGTGGCCCAGAAAGATTCCCTGAGTTTTATCAGGTGATGAACAGAGAGAGTCTGACTGGACGTTGTTACTGGGAGGTGGAGATGTGTGGGTTACAGGTATCGGTAGCAATCGCATATAAGAACATCAGCAGAACAGGAGATGGAAGCTTGTTTGGAAACAATGACAAATCTTGGGCTTTAGCATGTTTCAAAAAAAGTTATGAATTCCGTCATAACAAAATTAGTACTTCCATCCCGGGTCCTGAGCCCGCTAGAGTAGGGGTGTATCTGGACCACAGGGCAGGTGTTCTGTGCTTCTACAGCATCTCTGAAACCATGACTTTGCTCCACAGGGTCCAGACCACGTTTACTCAGCTGCTGTATGCTGGACTGTGGCTTATTGGTTCAGGAGCCACTGCTGAGTTGTGTAAGCTCAGCTAGACATGAGTTATGATAGAGGCATTTTGGTGAGACTCTGCTTTTAGTATGTAAACTGATTTTGTCTCAACCTTTGCAGAGATTTAGACAGTGGTGAGAGACATAGAAGGCTGTATGAATCTACAAAGAGAAATTTAAATGACTCTATTACTGTAATGAAATCAAAAGACAGCTTCTTTAACCCATGATTGTTATAAGTAGTGAAATCATGGTTTGTTGTACAACTGTTTACTGTAAGTCAGGAAATGAGTATCAGATGGTAGAAAAATAAAGGAAGTGCATAAAAGGTCCCTGAGACTCCATAATGGGGAGATGCAGAGAAAAACTAGTGTCTGATGTGGATAGATGTGAAAAACATCTGACTGTTTCAAAGGGGTGATGACAAAGGTATCATTCACTGCCCATGGCTAAGCATGAGAGCAACATGCCATGAGTCTGACGAGTAGGGAACAATTTCATAGCTGTGTATGATTTAAAAAAAGTGTAAAAGTGTGTCAGTTGCTCATGGAAATTGTCACTGTGAACAGTGACCTGAACAACTGACTTGTGTTGGATAGAGGGGCCAACTGTCTGGGCTTGGAGCTCAGGCTAGAAAGCCATTGAGCAGAGGAACTTGTGTCTGTGCCTGAGATGACTTATGCCACTTGGCAATCAACTGCGAACCCTCTGAGATGACTTATGCCACTTGGCAATCAACTGCGAACCCTTAGGAAAATAGAAGCTTCCATCAAATTCTGATTTGCTCCTGTTCATACAGGATCCAGAGATTCTACTGATCATCATTTTTAAGATTTTTGAATTTTTACAAAGCCATGATCCATTCTTCTACCCAAAACTCAAGGAAATTATAAGTACAGAATTTATTTAGCCAGAATGATATCAGGTTATTATTGCTATTGTAACTTCTAGTATTGATAATATAAGTGTTAATCATCCAGTCCCAGCTGACATAAGGTGAGAGGTGGGGTACAGCCTGGACAGATCGCCAAGTCTATCACAGGGCTGACAGATAGACAAACAACCACACACACTCACATTCACTCCTACAGGCAATTTAGAATCACCATTCAAAGTACCAGTAGCCTCTCCTCAATTATCTAACAGGTTGTGTATGACTGGGACAGGCCCATAAGATGGAAGCTTTAACAGGTCAACTCCAAAGCAGTAAGGTGCATCCTTTCTTTATCACTGAGTGGTTGAGCATATATTTATTTTGCTCCTATCTTAAAAACAATCAATAAAGTTGTATATGCTTTCCAAATAATGTGCTTGGTACTTCTTGTAGGTTACAGTATTTTTTTAAGAACTCTGTCATATCTGCTGGATAAAGCGTTAAACTTTACTGTAACTATAATAGTATAACTGCGCACATTTCTCCTCTAAAACACAGTCAAGTCTGAATGTTTAGAGCAGATGCAAAATCCAAACTACAAATCTAGAAGACTTTATTAATAAAATCTTCCAGATTTTTTTTCTATAATATTGTGGGGTCTATTGATATTTTTTGTTGTGATTTGGTGCCATATAAATAAACTGAATGGAAAAACCTTCTTAGATGGATGAGTTCAGTAAAGGTTTTACTTCAGATGTTTTTTTTCTGGTCAGTGATGCTGTTTTTAATTACCCAAATCCTGTTGACATCAGGAGTTAAGCAGTTAAAAGTTTGCTAGACTTTCATGTGAATTTTACTTTTATTTTTAAAGGTGTGATAATACCTGCATATGTATAGATGGTCTGTTATTTAATATAATACTGATGTAAAATATTTACCTTCAACTAGTAGTTTCTTAATTTTAACAGCAGGTGGAGCTACTGCATAAAACAGTGACTTGAGACATCCCATAGTGAATGTGTTGTGTAGAGTATACAGCTCATTAAAATACAACACATTAATCACTATGTATTTCATAATGTACACAGGACTTTGTTCAGTACTCTTCAGACTCTGATGTACTCAATTGATTAGATCTCTGCTGTGGTTTATGTGGGTGTCAACAGCAGTGAGTTTTGGCTCTGTATGATCACATCTGTGTGCTCACCTTGTTGAAATCCTCTCTTTTTCTTCCTTGTCTCAAACAAAAGCAGTCCCCTCAGTCAACGTGTTTCTTGTTCCCCATCCCCTCTACAGATCCTGCAGTGTACAAATGGGTCTTTTTAAATGATTTTATTCATTATTTTTAGGCTGCTTACTGGAGGTTACTAAACCATTAGAATACTATGTAAACAGTTACAAAGAAAAACTAATAGTTAACCTGACAAATGTGTAATATAACTGTTGATTATCTTTGAATATTTTTAACAAGTACAGTAACTTTCTACATTTTAAAATCATATCCTTAGCAATAAATTAGTGAATGAAAAATATACAAGGAATTCTTTGACATTCTTTGACTTTAAGTTACTGGGTATGTTTAACCATCTATTTCCCTAGGGAAAAATTGATGTGATTATTAAACTTCTAAATGGTTGTTTGGTCTGTGGCTATAGTCCTTTATTTAATTATTGTTTGCATAGTTGCTGTAACAGGTAGTCTATCCTCAGGTCAATCTGTTCTGCAGGCTGGCTCTTCCGGGTACTACTTTTATGACTAAGGATGTTATATGTTAATTAATTAAACAATAAATAACCTACTAGGACTTTTTGAATCAATATTTTTAACACTGACCCCCATCCCGAAAACGATGTTGTATCATATAATTCAATATTAGCCCATTTAATGCAATATATTAAATCTAATCCTTTTTCCTAATTAATTAATGTATTAATTAATTAATTTTGTAAAGACTAATATTGTATCATACTCATGACCTTTGTGTAGACCTACATCGTCTTCCACAATTATTTTGATTTGAATAAACTACAATCTTTTCTTAACACTTTATTTGTTTGAAGTCATAATTTTTCGAACGTCAATGGGTGTAACCCATGAGTTAACTGACAAGGAACAACACCAATCGAATTTATAGAAGTGACGTTCTCAAGATAGCCAATCAGCGCTGGTAAACTGGGCGTTCAGACCGCTTCCTTGTCTGTCGCTTACTACGAGTTTCCGCAGTGCTAATGTCAATTTGCGTATCTCCTGTTGGATAGACAACACAAGCAGTTGCATTTTGGGCATAATTTTCATTTTCTGAATAAAGATTATTTAGTTTACTATCTCTAGAGAGCTGCCGTGGTTCCTGGATTGATATGGCGGAGGAAATAACGAAAGGTGTGGATAAGGTCTCAGTGGGTAAGGATGAAAATAGCTTAGCTAAAGATAGCTGGCTGGTTAGCTCCCTAAAACGTGTGTCATTCATATTGCATCAGTTCAGTAATGTTAGCAGTTAACATCCAACGTTAGCTTTGTGATTTTATGTTGGTCACGCTCAGTATTAATTGATACGGAGCAGGTTTACACAGTCACTTAACTTGCATACGGCCGTCGAATGAATGAAAGTCACAGATAAAAACCGTGTGAGCCAGACACAAGCTAATATTTAGCATTGACACCTGTCGGTTTGCAGTGCAGCAGCTAAAGGGTTGCGTCAATCAGTCAACCCAGCATATGAAAACAGTGATTTCTATACGGATGTGCTTTCAGTTTCGTCTCTGAAGTTGTCCCCATATGCAGAGTCAGGACAGACAAGATCCACTCACAAACACCCATGCAGTGTCCATAGTTCCACATTGTATCTAATGTTGGTGTACCAAGCGAGGGTGATGACTTTTTCTTCTGATAGCGTTTAGGTGCTGTCAATGTATTAAAACAAACCCTCAACAAATTAAGCTGATTTTAGTAATTGTAATCTTAATATAGATGATTTTAAAAAACTTTCATTAAAAAGATGTTAGGGTTATCAGTGCTCAAAAGTACAGTATGTGGTACATTTCTGCCCACATACTTTGGTGCAAGTTTGGTCTTCTCATGATTTGGGTGATGATGTGGGGTTTAAACTTCACCTAAGGGGTTAACACCCTTTCTCCCATAGATATCAATGGCAGTGTAGTTTTTTTTTGCTTATACTGCAGTGTCGGGTTTCACAAGGTGAGACCATCACCTCAGTACTAAACAGATGTATTGAATGTGGTTACGAGTTAAATCCAGGTAGCTTCTATTTCTCCTGTGTCATTCCTGAGGAGACGACTGTTGCTGTGCAGTCACTGTGTTTATGATTTTCCTTTCACTGTGATACTGAACAGCAACTGCGCTGAGCAGAGGGTTTGCATTGGAGATGGCTTTGCTATATGCATAGGAGCAGATCATTGATGCTTTCTTCTATTGTCTTCACTCTCACTGACCCCCATCAGAGCCTTGTAAATATTAAGAGTTCACTGGTATTTTGTATGGACTGGCAGGGGTTGCTGTGTCTCACTCTGCTTCTGTTCCTCAGGTGAGCTTTATGTGTCAGACAAACATGGCAGCGACCAGGATGGAGACGGCACAGCGCAGAAACCCTTCAAAACTTCTCTCAGGGTAAGAGGTCATGTAGCATAACAAATCACTGTTGTTTAATGATATATTTATCTATTTATTGGTTCGAAGCTTTTCTACAGGATTTGCTGTTAGCTGTAGAAATGGTAGTGGGAATATTATTGATATTTGTTGCAATGGTTGATACAGCTGCGCTGATAGGCCTGTCAACCCCTCATTCAGTTTGTGATCACATCCTCACAGGCTCTTATGTTTGCTGGGAAGGAGCCATTCCCGACCATCTATGTAGAGTCACAGAAGGAGGGAGAGGTTGGTCCAAAAATCTTATTTATTTTTTCACTCCAATATTCATCATATCGTCCTTCTTCAAATATCAGAATTTACTGTTTTGTACACAAGTGAGCAGGTTTTATTGCAGCCAGAGCTGCAGCATCTATTCTCATTTATTAGTTTACCTTCTCACTTGAAGGTTGTTGCCCCCTTGGGCAGCTGCTGCTGTTTGGGTGCATTAACAAGCCTGCCAAATCAGGTCTTGATGTTGCTTGATTACAAGCTGATACCATACACAGTAGGTCACTTAATCTAAGCCTTATTGCATGTTTACATGTCATGCAGTTCTGTCTCTGGATGTCCAAGAAGAATTGGACACATTTTTTATGCTGGTTTTATTAAACATGAATTCACTGTATTTTTTTCCGTGTTTCTCTGTGTCAGCGTTGGGCGGTGATCTCTAAGACTCAGATGAAGAATGCAAAGAAGGCATTTAACCGTGAGCAGATGAAGAGTGATTCCAAAGAAAAAAAGGAGGTGTGTGTTCCACTGTTCTCTTCACATCAGTTCCTGCTAAATGGACATAAAAGACACAGTATAGCTTATGGGGCAACTTCATGTTTTTTTCCTGCCATCAAAGAATCATAATGGCTCACTCCAGTGTGCGGTTTTACAGCACTTAAGCTCTAATTCATGGCTGTATGACCAAGAAGCTGTTGTTGTGTCTTTAAATGTTGGCTCCATGTGTGTTGTGCAGGCAGAGGACAATGAGAGGAGAGAGAAAAACCTGGAAGATGCCAAGAAGATCACCATTGAGAACGACCCCAGCCTGCCTGAACCTGACACGGTCAGTGTTTCACATTTCACATTGTTTGTATTCATTTAGTCAGAATGCACCCATTGTAGGTGCAAACAATTAATAAAACTATTATTTAATGGACAATAGTTGCAACCCTTTATATTATTCCTCTTATTTTTAGCATTTATAGTCAGCGTACTGTAGAAACATGTTATAAATAGTGTATATTAAGCCAACTAACATATTGTGGTTGTAAACAGATATCAGGACATTTTAACTTTTTATTAACATATTTTTCATTCATATGTAAAGTATTGGGAGCTGGTGTATAAACAGTTAATGATTGCTTAGTAACACAAAACAGTCTCTAAATGAGCTCATGAAGACATTGTTGTGCACGATTACCACTATAGGATATGATGTAGAAGTTGCAGTTGATGACAAATATGTTATTGAAGAATGTCGTTACACTTAAGCATGACTATGTTACTGTGTGTTATATTGTAATACAAACCATTTATTTAAATAAATTGATTCAGGTTGTCTGTGGAGTCTTAAAAAGTATTAAAAGGTAATAAATTAAGGCCATTAAAAAGTATTAATCGCCATTTTAAGACGTATTTAATTTTGTAGCCATTTTATCGCAAATAGCCTATTTTTCCTAAGAGTTTGTAAGTTTAAAAGTTTGTGTGGATTTATTTATTTATATTGTGTGGCTGTGTACCCTGTGGAATTTTTCACAATGCGAAGTCATTGATCTGCGCCCGGTCAAATCCATCTGAAAAGTTTAACATTTTTGCGTGCTCATGGGTCCACCAACTGCTGTCAGTGTGGATGTTTGTTAAAAAACTAATCCTTAAATGTTATGTTGACTTGAAACTAACAAACATAATGTAGAATTGCACGTTTTTGGACAAGTGGTTGAACTTGAACCATGGTCCATGACTGGGAACAACCACAGTAGTGTTTGTGTGTAAGAAAGTACGTTTAGCTTTGATGGGGATCAGCGCTATCTGGTCCCATATACACAGTACTAGTTACAATCCAAAGGTGTGTTGCTGATGTAACTGGTTATAACTTAAGGTGGCAGTTATTGATACTTTTTGTCTGTATCAAAATATTCTGAGGTTCAGTACGCTTCCCTGGATACCTGATCTAATGATAAGTATTAACTGTGTTTTACAGGTTAAAATCCAACATCTTGAGCCAAAGAGAGGTGAAAGAGTCAAAGTGTTTGGATGGGTTCATCGCCTCAGGAGACAGGGTGAGGATTTTTTTTTGTTCATAACAGTCTGACTTTGAGAATGAACCAGACCTGTGAATGTGGTAGATTAGTTTCTGTCTCTGGCTTCATAACAGAAAAGGCAACACTGTTTTGTTTTTGTTTGTTTTTTTGTCTCCTCCAGGGAAGAACCTGATGTTCATTGTGCTGAGAGATGGAACTGGCTTCCTCCAGTGTGTCCTGGCTGATAAACTGGTACATCTTTATATATATATATATACATCACTGTGCTGTAATTTTACCAGAGAATAATCAAAACAACGCTAATAAATTTAGATAATTTTTCTACCAAAATATAATTAAATTGACAGTGAAAATACGTTTTGACAATGTGTGCATGCTTTAAGAAAATGAAATGCTTTATATAAGAATGTTCTTCATCCACAAGTTATCAATATTACACTTGCTAGAGTCTAATTTCCTAGCTAAAACATTGATGGTGATTATGACTGCCTAGTTTTCTTCTCATCTTCAGTGCCAGTGCTACAATGGCTTGGTGTTGTCCACAGAGAGTACCGTGGCTCTGTACGGGATTGTTACTCCAGTTCCTGAGGGGAAACAGGTAACACACATGCAGTACGTGTACATGCACAAAGGAAACCAGGTCACTCAGAGAAATCTGGTTACTTAGGGAATCAGACATGTAGAGTTATTCAGTGTTAGTTTCAGTTTTTTCCTGACATTTGTTGCAGCCCGTCTTTTCATTCCACCACTTTGTTGTGACAGAGATACTCTCCCTGTTAGAAGGCTTTGTCCTGCACATGCCCACATGTAAAAAAAGCTCATCAGAAACCTTGGTACATATACAGAAAATGATAGTCTCCAGGAGAATTGTACTTAGGAAATTAGGTTTCTCTGATATTGTTCCATGACTAGAGAAAAAGATTTTGTTTACATTACATTTAAGGAATCAGACCACTGCTACTATGAGTCTGCTAGAAGAGTTGGAGGTGTTTTATTCCCCAAGGGAAGAACTAATATTCCTTCTTTTTTCCCCAGTGTAAAAACTGCTTCTACAGAGCAAGATAATGCTTCACAGTAAACATGAAGAAACTTGATCAAAGAAAGTGAGGTAGTCTCCTGCGGGAGATTATCCTTGAAGACCACCTTATGTGTAAATAAGTACAGTACTGTGTGGTTTATGGTAAACGATTAATTGGTTAATTAAAACTTGTATTAGAAAATTGACATCCATGCCATCCAAAGATGTCAGCTTTGGCTCTGAGACCTTTTCTTCATTTCATTTATTTCTCACATTTTATATCCTAATATTGAATCAGTAATGAAAGTAGTCATGACATGGAGTCCTTCATTTACCCACAGCTGAAGAGAGAGGCATGAAAATGTTTGTGCTAAGACCTAAATGCTTGTTTTGGAACATGCTAATTACAAGAGAAAAAACATTTTTTCCAATATCACATGATGAAAAATGAAATTCGGCAGCATTCATGAAAACCTATATGTGACAGTAATGTAGGATGGATGCAGCATAAAGACATGTAGCAGGTCTTCAGTGAGTTCTTGTCTTTCTGTCCCAGGCGCCCGGAGGCCATGAGCTGCACTGTGACTTCTGGGAGTTGATTGGCTTAGCTCCTGCAGGCGGGGGGGGCCACCCGCTGGGGACGTCCAGCTGAACAACAGACACATGCTGATCAGAGGAGAGAATGTTTCCAAGATCCTCCGAGTCCGATCCACGGTTACACAGTGCTTCAGGGACCACTTCTTCAGCCGTGGATACTACGAGGTGAAGCACATCCGCTGGCGTGACAAGTCTGAGTTTCAGATTTTAAAAAGGAAGAAATAAAAGTCTTTGCTTTCTGTTAAATTTTTTCCAAGTTGATAAAATTATCTGATTTGCAAAACTCCCAGGCTATATCTATGATCAAACCTTTGGGTTCTTCTTGTTGTTAGCAAAGAGCAATGTGGAGAACATTGAGCTACAAGGCTTCTCATTTTTAGCTGGTGCAGTCTGTTACTTTATCAGGTTGAAATGACTAACATTAGAGAAGGCAAACTATATCAGCTGTAGCCCTTCCTGAATCAGAATAAAACGTGTGCCAGGTAGCTGAAAATCAAGGAGTTGACCTTGACTTAAATAAAAAAATGGCACTGTTGGTTTGCAGCTTTTTCTTCTGATCCTTTTTGCAGCAGTGTAGTTCCACTGTTGAATCCCTTTGAGGCACCAGCGTAAATGCCTCTTTTTTTTTTTTTTCCTCTTGTTCAGTTGGTTTTAGTTGGCAGCAAATGTCTGCACATAGCCCGAGTTTGTAGTCCTTAGCTGATTGTGTATCTAGTATGTTTGAATGAGTAGTAGGATTTGGCTTCAGTAGCATTTTATCAAGTAACTCCCATACTGGATCTGCTTATCATGTCCACATCCGTTCATATCCCTTACTGAATATGTTGAGAGTTATTTTAGTTATAATCCATTTCAGTCCTGGTTGATTTAGCCCAGGGTTATCATGATAGTTGTAAGTGCGTTTTAAATACTAGAGAAAATAACAGCTACTTAGTCAGAAATACGACAGAAGAGCAGCCAAACTTGTGTTGTTTTAATTAGGAAGTTAGTCAAAACTGTCTGGATCTGATTTTGTATGGGGTTACCAGATTCCATCACTAACAATGAAAACTACTATACAGAGAGGTAATTACTGAATGTAAATACAGATAAAACATTATCGACAGCTATTAATTATCTACAGGTTGTTTGTTAATGTTGGGATTTTTTTTGTCTGTAGGTCACTCCTCCAACTCTGGTGCAGACTCAGGTGGAAGGCGGCTCCACACTCTTTAACCTCAACTACTTTGGTGAGCAGGCATACCTGACGCAGTCCTCCCAGCTCTACCTGGAGACCTGCATACCTGCTCTGGGCGACACCTTCTGCATCTCCCAGTCATATCGGGCCGAACAGTCTCGCACCCGCAGACACTTGTCCGAGTGAGTACGCTGTTCCACACATTAGCAAGCACTTGAGGTGTTGTGTGTAGGAGCATTTTATTGTCAGTAGCTTTAGCTCGTGGCTGTAAATGTACAATCTGACTCATGATTGGTCTACAGAATGCAGTGTGCACCATCTAGTCAGAATTCCTGAGACACAAAGTTCTCCAGCACTGTGCTGGAATTCCAATGAATGATTGTTTTAGATTGCTAAATAATTAGGCTAAAGTTATGTCTATGGAAAAATTATTAGATAGACTAATGCATTCTTCCACCACCTGGACCTTTTGAATTAGTGTAAGGATTCACAATGGCTAATTTTCATCAAAATTAGCCATTCTCAGAGATGGACAAATAGCACTTGTCTCTGTGTGCACTTTGCTGTATGAGTGCGCAGGGACCATCTACAAATTGCAACACTGAAAAGAAATAAGGAATTACTACTGCAAAAATATTCATTAACTTTACTCTTAGACAGTGTGGTGTCACCAGAAGCACTTCACACATCAGCGGTCTCCTGGTGGTTATACTTCAAGACTTAGTTTGGAAAAATGTGCTTCACACATCAAGGCCTTCCTGTTGGTTATGCTAACTGCCCACCTTTACTTTGGAGCAGCATTTCTGTGTGAAGAGAGGGAGTGCATTTGTGAGCAGTATAATAACTTTTAAGGGAGATACATCCCTATCCCAGACAAGAGTCAGGGTGCCTTGAAATTAGCTTGTCCTATTGTGTGACAGAGGAATTAACTGGCTGTTAAAGGTGCAGTAAACGATTTGAACCGATATTCAGGGATATGCATAACCAGATTTCTCTGTTCCATGTAAACACCATATGCCAAATATGATCAGATTCTTTTAATAACCTAATAACTTGTCCTATCCATGTAAATGCACTCGGCATGATGAGATCTAGTTCCAAGCTCTTCAGTCTTCAACCACAGTGTATTGACCTGTGCATAGCTGTGTATAAATTGAGTCCCCCTTACTGATAAAATATTGTAAGGAGTGGTACAAGTGCCATGCAACACCAGCAAGTTGAGGCATTTTCTTGGAAAGGTGGACATTTTTTTGTGTTGCTACTGAAGCTTATCTGCAAATGCCAGCAGAATACAGTCAGTGAGAATGCAAAGCTACTTATAAATAAATTTCAGACATTACATTTGTCATTCCTGTACACTGATGACAGTTTTCTTTCTCCTGAAACACAGTTGGAATGCCACCTGATTGATTTGTTCATGTGTTATTGCTGATTTCTCTTCTGTTTTCAGATACACTCACATTGAGGCAGAGTGTCCCTTCATTACATTTGAGGATCTGCTGAACAGATTGGAGGACCTGGTGTGTGACGTGGTGGACCGAGTGCTCAAATCCCCGGCTGCATCGCTGCTGTACGACGTCAACCCGGTACATCAGGGGTTATTTGTGTGTCTGGGGGAGGATTGGGTGTTCACACTAAAATATGTTAAGTTGTATCACAGTGTCACAGCATGTATATATATATAGCCTAGTTTGGGTTGCGTCAGGACGGGCATCTGGCGCTAAAACGCTTGCCAAATGTATACATGTGAACAGTTGATTTGCTGTGGCGACCCCTAACGGGAACAGCTGAAAGTAGTAGTAGTGGTAGTTATCACAGTGTCACAGTTTGCCTCGTAATGAACAGTTAACCAGTTAAGCTAGATAGGTAGATGAAGTTCTTTATTAATTCCTGCAGGGAAATTAGATTGTTACAGCAGCCAATTGACAGAACAGCGAGAGCAGAAGATGATTAAGGTGCATTTTCAATGGGTATTAAATGTACATGAACATATGTATGTATGACAATGGTAACATGCTGTCATAGGAGGAGATTCGTGTCCCATAGGGGACAGGTATTGTAATGGGCGATGGCCATTGGCAGGAAAGAAGGCAGGGAAATGTTCAGGTTGTTGTAGCAGAGATAATTGGCGATAAAACAATTCATTAGATATTTGGGTAATTGATAAACTGCAATAACAATACCAGTGGCAGTTATTTTGAGGTCAGTTTCATAGCTGTTCTTGTGCTTTTGGTTAGCAGACAGCTGACATTTTATATTTAATAGTAACTTGATATTTATGTTGATATTTTTCAGAATTTCAAAGCACCCAAGAGGCCATTCAAGAGGATGAACTACACCGAAGCCATTGAGTGGCTCAGAGAGCATGATGTCAAGAAGGACGACGGCTCCTACTACAAGTTCGGAGATGTAAGCGGGGAACACAATGCACACGTCCACCAGAGTGTGTGAAACACGCATCATTCTCCAAATAAGTGATTGTCAGCAGAGCTCTCAACATGACTCATAATTTACAAACAAGTTAAACCAAATGCACAGTGGAATATAATAAAATTGAACAAATTAAAGGTACTGCAATCAGAAGCAATAAGAGTGAAGGTTACAAAGTCATGTTTTTTAAGAAATGATTTTAAAGGGTACTCTAGTCATTTAATATTCTACTTCCAATAAAGCTGGACAATGTGTGAGCAACATATTAAAAAAAAAAAACTCAACTGGAGCAACATAGGCTGAGATATCTTCACTTTTAGACCCCAGTAGATCCAGCTTTAAAAATACATGATCCTATATTTCCTATAGTGCATAGTGCAGACTTGACAGAGCTACAGAAGATATCGTACAGTGGTAAATGTTAGACCCCGAGTCTTGGGAGTAGGCAGAGGAAACTAGACAGGGTGAAGGTTCAGGTTATGGAATGGAAAGTATCTATATACAGGAAAATAACTTTTCCCAGAATCTGCTCTCTTGGGATCTTACACCAACATTATACAACTCTTTTCACAGCTGAGCGGCATTCTTCATGACAAGTAAACGGAATTTGATACATGTGAAATTGGTGGTAGAAGCAATACACTGCCATAGTGTAGCAGGTAGTTAAATTGGTACTTGGTTTGATGTTTAAATTGATTTGTAAAATCCTCTTTTTATCATAGTGGCCTTAGTCTGATAAGGATGTCTCTGTTTTGACTTGGCTTTGTGTGGTTTCTCTCTGCCCATACATCTCAGGACATCCCCGAGGCTCCAGAGAGGATGATGACAGACTCCATCAATGAGACTATCTTGCTCTGTCGTTTCCCAGTTGAGATCAAATCCTTCTACATGCAGCGCTGCGCTGAGGACAGACGCCTCACTGAGTCGGTATGAACACCATTTCAAACTTGGATTCAGTTGAACTTTGGGCTCTGTGTGGACAATTATTATTTTATTCTGTCTATGTAAAGTACTTTGGTCAACTGGAATGTTGTTTTTAAGGTGATATATAAATAAATTTGATTTGATTTTTGATTTGAATCAAAAGAAAAGTTATCAGAACTGATATTATGACTATCTTAGTGACTTAATTTTACCTCATTTCTTTCCTTTATACAAACCAACACCCCCCATAAGCAATTTGCAAGTATGGCAACCAGTCCGAGTATACAGATATACGTAGACTCATAGAATACACGTTTTTAGGCCATGCTGATCATTGCTGTTTCTGGGTAAAATGACAAACAGCGGGATCATATCAGGTGCTGTTAATTCCATGAATTGATCACAAGCCGTGATGAAATTTCCTGCTACTGGGTTTAAATGCTTGCTGCAGGGCGGTGGGAAAACACCACTGTCTGGACCCCGGGACAGAGGGTTCCATTAGGTTTGGTAGGTTCCTACAGTGGAAAAGGCCTATGTGTGGCCAACTGTCCCACTAAATGACCATTTCACCTGGCAGGTCGATGTGCTAATGCCAAATGTTGGTGAGATCGTTGGAGGTTCGATGCGTATCTGGGATGCCGAGGAGCTGCTGGAGGGATACAAGAGGGAAGGAATTGACTCGACCCCGTACTACTGGTACACTGACCAGGTAAAGTAAAACTCAGCGTACTTCTTTGTTTGTTTCAGAGAAGAGTAACATGTTGATCAGCTGTATTAGTTAGTTAATCTCATAATTAAATGTGTTCAGACATCTCTACAAAATGGCGACTTCTTTGTATAATGACTGGGGGTGTCAAAGTGTCCTTGGGCAAGACACTGAACCCCCAAATTGCCCCTGATGGTTAGAGCCATCGGTTGAGTTGGCACTGCAGATGGCTGCCTCGGTACTGTGTTTCAGTTTCAGTAGTGGTGTGTATTAGCACACTTTTCTCTGTGTGTGTGTCTTTCAGAGGAAGTATGGCACGTGTCCTCACGGCGGTTACGGTCTGGGTATGGAACGTTTCCTCACCTGGCTGCTGAACAGACATCACATCAGAGACGTCTGTCTGTACCCTCGATTCATCCAGCGCTGCCGACCCTGAACACACACACACACACACACACACACACACACATTCTATTAGTGTCTGGACCTGGCATGTGGCAGTACTCTATCAACCTTAAATGTGTTGCTAAATCAACAAACAGAGAGTTCAATGGGTGTCCCCTTCAGCTGAGTCATTTTCTGAAAACATCCAATCATGTGAACTCTGTCTCACCACAGATAGAAATCTGTCATGCTGCACTCAGCCTCATATCTCACAGATTCCTCCTCATTATATAGCTTTTTCACTTTAAATCCAGTTGTTTTAATTGACTGTTTTATTAAAATTATCCACAGGAATTGTAAAAATCTACTTAAAACTGTAGTTGAACACATTTTCATTCGTTCATGATTGTAAATTCCTATGGAAATTGGTAAGAAAATAAACTAAGCTGAACTTTAAAGTCTTCATCATTTCATGGTACCGCATTCATCAGCCATACAAATGGTTTGCCGACATGTCAACACTTTATTTTTTTCATCGCATTACCATTAAAAAGATCTTGTGAAGTCTTAATTGTAAATTAGTTGAGGTTGCAGCCACGCTGTTGATTTCTATAGTAAACAATCCCATCAACTTTAAAAATAAATATTGTTAGAGTCAGGAACTATATACAGTAGTTTGTTCAGTAAAATCTGTGACTATATAAAAATGCCTGCTTGTAATTACAAGATCTACAAATAGAAGCTACGCTGCTACACACATGCAGACAGACACATTGCTCCTCCCATCATATTGGACAACCACCTTCCTGACTGTCTGTGGTGGTTCAGTGAACATTTGTGCACTTTTCTTGTACTGGGGAACATTTAGCTTGTCTCCTGAAAGGAACAGTTTTTTATTTCAGCATCCTGTTCTGTCATGGTTTAGAAATATGACATAGGCACCAGCCTCAGGGGAACTCGTTGTCTGTTGTCTGTATCTGAAAATACTCCTTAACTCAATAAACTGTACTTAAAATTGAATTCCAACAGATGGTTGTATGAGGGTTTTTCTTCAGTTTCGGTGTGTCACATCCTAGTGAGAATCAATTTGGTTAGTGAAGGACCGGCCAAATTGTCCCCACGTTCCAAAGATGTCCTCACGTTGTAGCAAAATTGCTTTTTTCCGTCCTCACTATATAGCAAGTACAAGAACACACACACACAGGCGTGATCGGCACGAGCAGGGGCGGAGTTATTCAGACCAACGCAGATGTGACGACATACCAAGAGAAAAACTGCGTCAAGTTAACCAAACTAAGACCGGAAGTTTGGTAAAATTGTATTGTTAATAAAAGCATACAGTCAGTAACGTTTCCACAAAGTTTAGATTAGAGGGAGATTTAATTTTCAGGAATAATTGTTATTTTGTCTTAAATGTATGTAATTATTTATTTTTGGTAGGCTAGACTTTTAGGCACAACCTCACAGATTCACCAGTGGATTCAAAATTGGTTCCTTATATTTTTTATTATCAGTAAGAGTATGTTTTATTGAATGCATTTGCAGTTTACATCTTTCCTTTGACTTATCTTTATTGTTAAACATTAAAATTTTTGTGAAAGGTTTCAGGGATCAATTTTTCTTGTGCTGTACTGAAACATAATAGTAAAAAAAAAATTGCAAGGATACTTATAAAAATAGGACAAACAATCAGTCAAGTCAAGATAACACATAAATATGTGTTGTTAGAAATAAATGGGTGAATGAAAGATAAATCAACCAAGTTACGGATCCCTGAAACAATAAATCCAAATCTGTAAACTATTGCACCATCGCGCGTTTAGCAGCGGTGCTTTTATTTTGAAATAGGAAGTGGAAGTATTAACGTTGTCGTTAGAAACTTGACGATGTCTATACAGAGAACCGGCAGTAGCTGAAGGAATCTGACTGACACTTCGGGATTGGCCAACGAGAGGAGGTCTTCGTGGTCCAGCAGCTGACCGCAGAAATTTCCAGCGTCCAAACAGACTTTTCTCTGCAGTGAAAACTACCGTGATGGCAGTCCTGGGCAGTGCCGGTCGCTTGATCCAATGTGGGTATTTGTGCAGCTAAGTTAGCCTGTTCAAAGGTGTGCTGGAAAACCTTCAAGTTTGGTTTGGCTCTGCATTGAATGTGACAAGAGTAAAATGTTCACTCCTCCTCTTTGGTGCAGTTTCAAGTAACATGATCTAAACTTAACACGTTGGTGAAATTGACTTGACCGTTTCACAAATGGACATAAAGCTAGCAAGTACATGGAACTACAACCTCCTGTCAGGACTTTCACAGTATAACACTTGTTATACTGTATTACCGCTGTTTTTTGGCTTATATAGCATCAGCATCACTTCATACATATTTGAACAACTACTGTGTTGTGTTTTTAATCATATTTGCCAATGGTATGATTCAAAATTCCAAGTTTTACGGAAAGGTGACCGATGATAAATTCCGATGTTGCCGTTGTTAGTCGCTAACACGCGGTGCTTTTACACACCCAACATCACTGTAGGTTACTGTTAATGTTACATAATGGACTTATCCCGTACTTGTGCTGCATATAGTAACAGCCAGAGTATCCGTAAATACTACACTTAGCCGTTAATAGACCATGTTTTCGTGGCAAGTGAGAAAGTTGAACATTTTCACGGAGTTTACACAATCGTGAATGTGAACTTGCGTAATCCCAACAGCCCCTGGCGGCTCGGCGAGGTACTGCAGCTCACGTTATGAAAGTCCCTCTTACTGTACACAGTTACAGTATATAGACACAGACATGTTGGACTGTATTCACATAAATCACAAAACGCTGTTTCTTTGTGTCCTCTGCAGCTTGTAACATATGTCCTTTTTATTTCACAGCAGTGCTAATTAAAATGTGTTCAGGGTCACTTACAGTGACCTCATGCGAGGGCTCATTAAAGGACAAACAGCTAATTGTCTTGACATTCTGCAACAGTTTAGGTTATATTCCCTATTGAAATATATTCTTTGTCTTTACAATAAATATCCACTATTAAACCAAAATCCAACACATTTTTATTTTACTTTTACTGTACTTTGTAACCAGTAGAAATTTATATTAAATTCTTACTTAATAATAAACATAAAAGTAAATACATAACAAGTGAGATAATTAGATAAATATGTGTGTATTTGATAGATGTATTGATAGTCTGTCTTCTTCTCTTCCTTTAGTTGCCAGGAGCAGTGTCAATCTAAGTGTGAGGAGACACGCCACTGCTGCTGCTTTAGCCCAGACTCTAGAAACGCAGGAGAACAGGTGACACACAGATGCATAGACATTCACATAACCTAGCAACACACTGTGGCAGTTTTATACTAACTGCTTGTAAATGTCAGTGAATAATCATGTAATGTTGCTGATTTAGCCAGCACACTTCCAGAAAAGCCTGACATAACATTGACAAATAGTCGTTAGCTATCTGTGTGCTGCAGGGCCTTCATTAGGCCATTGTTGAGTGTTTGTTTGGTAATGCTGGCTCTAGCTGGCATGGCATTCTTCAGCTTAATCTGTGGATTTGGAAGACTTTCACCTCAATATTGTTTCTTTTGTTCCACAAGCAGAACACCACAGTCTGACAAAAGCAAAGCAGAACTATATATAGAGCATATTTATGACAATTTTCAGAATGGCAACTTTTTATCTGTGATTTTGTGTTATAATCAAGGCATTAGCCATCAATAATCTGCAATTATTCCTAGTGTAATTACACCACGCCATTAGCAGACTGGGCACAGAAGACAATATAATGCATTTTCACCTAAAATCCAACAAATTTGCAGGCATTGATAATAAGTTCAACATATTTCTGTGGGGGCTTATGATTTCTGCAGAAAACCTAGGACAGGCATCCTGATGCTGAACATGGGAGGACCCGAGAAGCTAGAAGATGTTCACGACTTTCTGCTGCGGCTCTTTATGGACACAGACCTGATGAAACTTCCTGTACAGAAGTATGCACGGTGGACACACACACCCACACAGTCACGTAGTATAATATATTGTCTCTCTGAGTATAAGTGGCTTTTTAAAAGTGAGCAACAAAACCCACCAGTTGATGTTCATATCTTTCTCTGGACCAACAACATGACTAATGTCTTATTGCCAAAATGTCACAGTTATCAGCAGTGAGTCTATGAACTAGTGTAATGTTCATTTAGTGTGTGTTTGTTCAGGGATACAAGCCCTGCCCTGGGACTTAGACTTGCTCTATTCACAGCTAAAAATAACACAAGAGATGGCATCTGGAAAGCTGATAGCTTATACCAATCATAGTGTATAGATACACACACACATTTGTTTTTGTTTTGTGTACAATTTTTGGTGCAATACATGTTAATCGTGGCACGTTTTACATACTGTATGTTTTGTAATGTCGACACAGGCAACACAAGTTGAAGAGAACAAATGGGGAAAGTCATGAACCGCCACAGTGTTTTTTAGGTTGCTGCAGAGAAGAACAAACTGTGTTTCTTCATTTTCCATGTACCTTCAACAACACAAATTGTTTGAAAGCATTTGTTTGTTTTTTCTTTTTACCTGTGACTCCTTAAAATGAAGAAATATCTGCTTGTAAGTCAACATCACAGGTTGTGGCTTTTAGAGTGGATGTTAACAATTAACCATGATGGGTTTTTGGTTTGTTGATGTGATCAGTCTTCAGTCATATAATACCAAATTTGACTTTGGGAGTGAGTTTCACTGTTTTGTTTTTGCTTTCTGAAAATGGTCCACAGGCCACTTTTCTTGTAGTTTTTGGTGCGTTACGTGTCTGTTTATGTATTATAATTAAGTTGTAGTTGTAGTCATAACTTTTCAGCCTGTGCTTTCCTCTGCAGTAAGCTTGGTCCATTCATCGCCAAACGTCGCACGCCAAAGATCCAGGAGCAGTACAGTAAGATCGGAGGAGGCTCGCCCATCAAACACTGGACCTCCATGCAGGGAGAGGGCATGGTGAAGCTGCTGGACGAGATGAGTCCTGAGACAGGTGAGATAGTCCTGGAGAGAGAGGGTTCATCCACCTAAAATCATCTAAATGCAGAGTTTAAGAAAGTTTGTGTGTTTCTGTGGTTTTATTGACTGATTTGAGAATACTCATGGTGAATTATTGTGTCAAAATGGAAAACTAAGCAGAACTGCCATGCTTCCTTCTGGTTGATAGCAGTAGAGCAGAGCGTGCGTGTGAAATGGAGATAGTGACACAGTGAAGGAGTGTCTCATCACACGCCTGCAACACACCTCACTGATAAGGACACAAACAGTGAGCAGTGGTCTGAAACTGACCATATCTAGTATACACACCTCCTGTGGAACGTAACATCCTTGACCGAAGCCTTCATATGTAAACACCAGACGAATGCTACTCATAGCCAGGCTTACTCAAACAATAGTGCTGCTAATGAGTTTATTTCATATGGTTGGCTCTTAGCAATTCTGTCTCTCTCCCATCAGCTCCTCACAAGTTCTATATCGGTTTCCGGTACGTTCACCCGCTGACAGAGGAAGCCATTGAAGAGATGGAGAAAGACGGAGTGGAGAGAGCTGTGGCCTTCACACAGTATCCTCAATACAGCTGCTCCACCACAGGTGACAGCCGCACACAGTACAGATCCAGGATGTTCTCCAAGCTCTTTTTGTTCAACCAACAGTCCAAAACTCAAAGATGTTTAGTTTACAGCGATAGCAGCAGATCCTCACGTTGAGAATCTTGAACTCAAGGGTGTTTTTTTCCCAGTAAATGATTAAACAATGAATTGATTGTTGTTATTGTCTATATTAGACAAAAAGAACTATAAATTACAGTAGGGCTGCAGCGGTATACTGGTTACATGGTTCAAAATAGTTCAGCAGAGCTCCAACTCAACCAACAGCCAATCCTGCTTTTACATCAAAGCCTGAGTGAAAGGCTGTGAATGTAATGATACAATATATACGTAACAGTAATTGACAGTATAACATTTTCTGCATTGAGTACCATACTTTTAGGACAATACCTTATAACCTACTATGGTTTTTAAGGGAGTAAAACCCATACCAAAATAAAAACAAAAAGGTAAGAACAGATTGAACAAAACATGAATGAAAAATTTTTAACTCATCAATGTAAAACTACCGTCATGGGGGTGTGCGTGTAGTGGTGAGTGTTTCTGTCACACATTAGCAGCTGATTGTGACTGACTGGGCTGTTGGTCTATACTTTTCACAAGGTGTAAAAACTCAAATGGGTTTCTTGTTTCCTGACATTGTGAAGTGCTGCTTTAGTTACTTAGAAACATAACATATGTAAAATGCTCAGCAGAATCTGACAGATTTTGACACATCTCAGGTTGTAAAGCTATGTCACCTCTGTAATTTTAAACTGATGGTTTAAAACAATCCCTTCACTCAGTAAATACGTGGCCTAGCACTACCTCTTATTTTGCCTTTAGTTTTACCTGCTCATTATTTCAAACTCATTATTATATTGAATCAGAATGCAGTAATTCTGACATTAGAGGACACACTCAGTTACGTAGCCAACACACTCAAAACTGCATGGAGGTCTGCTCAGCTGCACAACAATGTCCAGTAATTGCAGGCAGCAAACCAGGAAAACCACTTGTGAAGATGCACGATCGCGGTGATGATTACAGTATACAGTGCACATTTTATTCTGTGAGCTGATGTTTTGGTGCTAGCATGCCTTCCTTAGAGCTTAGAGAACCAAACAAGTCACATCATATATAAAACAAATAAAACTGTGAAATCTTACTACTGTTTTTCCTGTGTAAAGAAATGTATTATTGTATTCCATTATAATGTAGTGGTTTCTACTGACATTAGTGGAGGCACGCTCTATTTGTTTGTGTGCACCAGTGTCCTGAAGGCATTTCCAGAGTCCTCAAAGACTTGCACACATCTCTGTAATGGTGCCAAATCTGGTGCTTCATATTGCTTACAAGGCACCTTTTTTCTGTGGGAGCATAACAAACTGGATTTATCTGGAGTTTTCTATTATTGTCAGGGTTAAATTTAGGGTGGGAAACATCAGTATGAAAATCTATAAGATTCCTGTTTGCCTTGGTGGTCTGGTGAATAATTTGGTGCCTTGCTGGCAGTGTCAGTACTGACAGATGAAATGTCTTATTTTAATATTTTTTAGCTGTTTTTGGAAAGAAAACACTGGACTCACAGACGGCGGTGTGTTTAGCAGCTTGTTGTGCTTTTGGCCAGCAGCAGGGGGCCATGGTTGTTGTTGAACATATTTATGATATTGTTTTTGTTTGTTTGTTTGCTGTGTGAACAGGCAGCAGCCTCAATGCCATCTACCGTTACTACAGCAACAGAGGCGACAGGCCAAAAATGCGCTGGAGTGTCATCGACCGCTGGCCCACACACCCTCTGCTAGTGGAGGTTAGACACACACATACACACAGTAATGACAGCGGCCACCAGGCTCCTCTTCCTCCCAGAAAGAAAAAAAAGTCAAATGCTGGAAAATAAATCGACTCAGGTGACAAGTGGTCATAGCAACTAATGAGCTAACAGCGGCTATAGTGGGTCCTCAGGACAGCTAACCAGCCTGACTATTTTTAGACATGTTGCTTCCATGGAGAGAAACAGAGAGCAGTCAGAAATCCTGTTTCATTAGTTGAGGAAAATGATATTTCAGCTTAAAACAGACAAAATATCTTTTAAAAATGCACAAAAATTCAGTGTGTGTGTGTGTGTGTGTGTGTTTAGTGTTTTGCAGAACACGTCACTAACGAGTTGCTGAAGTTCCCAGAAGAGAAGAGAGATGATGTCGTCATTCTGTTCTCAGCACACTCACTCCCTCTGGCTGTAAGTACTGCGAAGTGCTGATACTGGATGCTGATACTGGTAATACTGGCAGACGCTGTCATTCTTATTGATACACATCCTACTAATATTAAGTAGACCTTGTCGATACCCAGCCATTGCTACTACTGCTACTAATGGTACTATTCCCTCAATGATAAAAATGATAATACTGCTGCTACAGTTGCTGCTATCTTCACTGCTAAACTACTGCTGCAGATAGTGATACCACAATATAACTACTGCCACCCGTGACATCATGGGTGTTGACCTGGGTGTGGGCTGCAGGGATGTGTCGCTACTGGTTTCCAACAGTCCAGCAGTTTGACTCCACAGTGTTACCAGTAATATCTGTGCAGAGTTGCCAGGCTTGTGTGTTTTCAGCCAAACCTTGCTTATTGTGATAAAGATTGACAGGCTGGGATATAGGGGATAATTTAAATATTTCAACTGATTTGTTTGATAAGGTCAGGCACCGTTTTATTCTGAAAATCCAGTAAGCAGCAGCTAAGCAACACAAAGTCAAAGACAGGTGAGCTGCAGGTGCTCAGGTGAGTTCTGATGTCACCAGAGAGCCTGCAGGTGACATCAGAACTCACCTTAATTTATTTAAAAGAAATGCAAAATATTTGTTTGATCCAATACAATACAAAGATCATGTAGTTTTAGGCAAGTGGTGTCAGTCAGTACACATTCAAGGAATTAAGGTTTTGCAGTGTCAGGCTCATGTGCACGCACATGTGTGCATATAAATGAGCAAATAGAGACAGAGAACAAGTGCACTTAAACAGGAAAAAATGTCCCTGCCAAAGATAAAACCCAAACTGACAGTACTGCTGTTGTGCACCATGTGCAGGTTGTAAACAGAGGTGACCCGTATCCCCAGGAGGTGGGAGCCACAGTTCAGAGAGTCATGGAGAGACTGGGACACTGTAATCCTTACAGACTGGTGTGGCAATCTAGGGTGAGTACACGGGCACACACACACACACACACACACACACACACACTCTCACACATGTCAGTGTTATTAATAAACCAGTGGCACTATCTGAATCTGATCAGCAGTGACACAGACAACCATCATCCAATGATTTACAGTGTAATTACTTAGTTTGAATCTGGTGCTAATGCAGTTTTTGCCAGCTCTAACTGGTACTTAAGTTGGTTCAGTGCATGTGTCCAGATCTTTGACTGACAGTGTAAACTGGATGAACTCCCTGCAGCTCAGTGACACCATCACTGAATGGGTACAGTTTTGTCACCACAAGATGGAGCCACTCGTCTGTCACATACTGAAGCTACACCGGAGCAGGGAACCTCAGAGCTCTTGCTCCTCAGACCAAGGTGGCAGACAGTTTATGAAGTGCACACAACACAATAGTCGTTTTACATAGAATGGAAGAGGCCTGGGAAGTGTTGGCTACCTGTTAAGCATTAGGCATGGGGGTGGAAATACACAAATTTTAGGAAGTTCAATATGATACTACTGTAAATGTAGATTTTATAGCAATCATACATTACAGGGAGGATAACGGGGGAGTTTGCTAACCAGATCACACAGCCGTACTTAAAAACTCAGAAAAGCCTCTAAGTGGACATTTGATTATTTTGTCATATACCTCCTGTGGGCCCTGCACACTTTTAGTTGTTAATATGAAGAGTTTTGTGATTTCAGTTTATTTCTAAAGCACATGAGACCATTCCAGTAAAAGTGTCACAGGGCAGTCATTGTACTTTTCTGTTGTTTTTAAAACTATTTGTGACAGTCCTACTGTCAACAGCCAACTGGCCTGGCACTCTGAGTGTCATCCTGGAGAGACTGGAAATATGCACCATTATCCCCATTAGACCACATCTTCCTCCCCTCCCTCTACGATGGGTGACATTTCATTCTGACCTCCATTGTGGCCGTTAAGAACAATACAAACAGTGAATTTCGGATGTGGTCAGACAGCACATCTTAAGACATCTGAACTAAATAGATTTATAAAGTTTCCCTTCAGGCTGTCTGGTCTGGTCTGGTCTGTAGCAGTGTACTGGACCAGCTGCAGTGGAATTAAGCTGTTACAATGTCTTATGCTGGGTTTCACAGGTGGGCCCCATGCCGTGGCTCGGCCCTCAGACAGACGAAGTGATTAAAGGTCTCTGTGAACGAGGGAAGAAGAACATCCTGCTGGTGCCTATCGCCTTCACCTCAGACCACATAGAGACTTTGCACGAACTTGACATCGAGTATGGACAGGTGCTGGGGGGGGAGGTAAGGAAGAGAAAACCCCCACTTTCACTTTGCCAGCAGTGTCAGGCGTTTTCCTCTGCTCTATTAGCTTGTGTCAGTACAGTTTAGTATACAATCCATCACATAATGGTCCTGACAGGTGAGGAGAGGCCTGGGAGGCTTATTTGGGCAAAGAAGCGCACTGGGGCTTATGCAATATGTTTATATGATGGTCCTCCATCAGCTTTTAGGTTTAGATTTTCTTTCCAGGTAGCCTGTGTTTTCAGTTGTAGATCTTAAAGAAATAAAAATTTCTCCATCTACATTATGGATGTGAATGAACGATCAATTATTTGATTAGTCGAAAAGGTGAATGTAGTCGAATATCGGGGGAAAATCAAAAAAATTTATAACATTTATTTTTACATCGGAAGCTGAGCTGTCTTTTCTGATTAGGACTAAGATTAGAATCTGTATTGCAGATTAATTTGAGACTTGATGTAGAGTTTTAAGCAAATGTGCAGTCCTGTGTGTCTATGTCTGTGTAAAGGCACCGGTGAGATGACCACCAATCAATGTGGCTGGTGCCATGAAGACACACACACACACACACACACACCTTTTTGCGCTTGTGAGAAACATGCCCTCACTTTGCAAAAATGTCCTCACTGACCAAACATGTCACCATTGTTCAGAAATGTTAAGTTCCAAACATCTTTTTCCCCCGCACTTTTCAAAATGTCCTTTTATCATGGTTTAAAACTCAAATTGGTCCTCACAAAGAGAAATCCCAGGCTACACACACACACACACACACACACACACACAGAGTATGGACCACTTCAGCATGTCCACAGTAAAGGGGAGTTTCACTCCAAAATGAAACCTGCTGTTAAAGATAATTGGAAACTCAGAACAAAATGCTTTTATTTCTTGAACTCCTCCACTGACAAAATGACAACACTTTTTTTCTCCACATGATCACTAGGTTGAATGTGGGTCTCTATTTAATGAAACCTCTTCACTGTGAATATGAACTGTCTGTAATCATGCTTGTTACACATAGCGGTGTGTGATGTGGTTCTTATGAAATGTGCATGTTCTTCTGTCTTTCTTCTTCTGTCTTCAGTGCGGGGTTGAGAACATCAGGAGAGCAGAGTCATTAAATGGGAACCCTCTCTTTATGAAGGTGCGTTTTACACACTGAACCGTCTCATGTCTACAGACATGTACAAAGGTTAACATATACAAGAGGTAACGTAATCAAAATGTATGCAACCTGTTTTAAGTGGAGTTTAAAATGGAACAAATCTAAGCGTGATAAAGCAGTGTTTCTGTATTTGACAAAGTGGAACAGATTTTCAGTTTGAATAGAAAAGAAGATGAAGAGGGAGAATGAGAATAAAAGACCAAAAAGAATAGCAGATGATGAGAAATACATGGTGTACAGGATTGAAGGAAGCAAGAAAAACAAAGGAGGAAAGACAGTAGGAAGAGAGGCATCGCTCTAATAAGAGAGAAGGAGACAGCAGCAGAAGGTTCTGTGATGTAAGTGAACTCCAGGCAGGAGATGGTCAATAAATGGATTCCTTTTTCCTTCCTCCCCTCCTTTTCCCTTCCCCCTCACTGTCCCTTATCTCCTTTCTTTCTTCCTTTCCTTTCCACGTGTCCCTTTTCCCTCCATCCTCAACCCTGCAACCTTTCTCCCAACAGGCAACTCCTCCAGCTGTTAACGGCGTGTGTGTGTGTGTGTGTGTATGTAGGGTTTATTAAAGGAAGGGGGCAGATCAATGGGAACCTTTAGAGCTGACTACAGTAGAACTGAACCGCCCGGCTGGCTGGCTGGCTGGTCAAACCCGCCGCGCTCAGAGACCCCTCGCCAAGTCTCTGAGTGTATGTCTGTGTGTGCGCGCGCGGGTGTGTAAATCAATATCCAGGGGATGATTAGTTGGTAGTTACTGAAGGATGGTTTCCTTGGTGTGCTTTTAGTTTCTCAGTGAGCTGCATCATTCTGCTGCCACTGGAAAATCAAGAAAAGTGAATTCATCAGAATTTGCACTACAGAGCCTGACTGATGTTGGGGTTCATTTTTCTTCTATAGTCAGAATTCAGGTAGCAGACATCACCACACCGCTGCACAAAGGTTTTATTTTTAAAGGAATAGTTGACATTTTGAGAAAATATGCTTATTCGTTTTTCTGACAAGAGTTGTTTGAAAAAAATTGGTACTGTACCGCTCTCATGTCTGTACAGTCAGTATGAAGCTTCCACCAGCAGCAAGATTGATTAGCTTAGCACAGACTCAAAACAGGGAGAAACTGTTACTTTCTTTTGTCCAAAGCAGAGCCAGAACAATATATCGGCCAGCATTAGCACGTTGCTGATACAGATGGTGACAAATGAAGGACAAACAACCATAAAGTGTCTCAGTAAGGTGCTGGCCACCAGAGCAGCTTCAGTGCACCTTGGCATTGACTCTTCGTGTCTCTGCTGGAGGGATGGACCCAATTCTTCCAATATATATTCCCTCATGTGATGTTTGGATGATGGTGGTGGAGACTCTAATGCATCACTCCAACATCATCCATAGGTGTTCAGCTCGCTGAGATCTGGTATGTGAAGGCCATAGCGTATCATTTTCTTACTCATCCAGACCATTCAGTGACCTCTCGTGTCCTGCTGATAGGGGCAGTGTCATCCTCTGTTATTCAGGTTTTTCCTTTCGTTTGTCACCGTCTGTATATTGGTATTGGTGTATATGTAAGCCAATAGCTGAATTACAGGAAAATGTTTGGAAAGTGTCACCATTCTATAATTTGCCCACCAGAGAGTAGAGGAAAGTTTATTTTCTCTCTTTATTTCAGTATTAAATGTGTATGTTGTTCATCCTGTCCAGGCACTAGCAGACTTGGTCCAGTCTCACCTGAAGTCCAATGAGCCATGTTCCCGACAGCTAACCCTTCGCTGCCCGCTGTGCACAAACCCCATCTGTGAGGAGACCAAGGCCTTCTTCACCAACCAGAAACTCTCATAGAACCACACAAACACTCTCACTCTCTAATGCCAGGATCCTCTGATTCCTGCAGCAGGGCTGCCTGTGAAGAAACATAATGCCTTCTCCAATAAGCAGAAGCTTCATACATAAACACTCACCGTTTCCCCAGCAAGGGTGCCTGTTACATAGAAAATAAAACACGAAGAACGACTCAAATGGTTTCTGCAAATGA